CTGAATGCTATACACAACAGTGAGATGGGGTCTGCAATTCGATTGATGCTAAGGTGGGAATGTGGAGCAAGTAATATCTGCGGAAACACCCCTCGACAAAACCACAAGCAAGTCGAATCGACGAAGAGTATTGAACAAGCTCCTTCACGAAGCCACTAGTTCAACGTCAGAGGAAATCCTAGAAAATCTTGCAAAAGTTACCTGCCCCTGATATTGAGTGGTTATGGCGCCTGTACCAAATACCATGGGGGATCAAGCTCCTCTGTTGATGAACCACTCACCATCAAGGAGGTCCGGAAATCTCTGCATGACTTAAACGGTAGATCTACATCAAGCCCGGATGGTGTAACAAACAAGACACCCAGAAACGTCATAGAGGAGTCGGTCAAAATTCTCGAGGAAGAAATGCACCACGTATGAAAGAAGGGCATACTCTCGGAGGAGTGGAAGATTACGCGGGTCATGCTCATGGCTAAGGACGGCAAGCCACCAAGCGTGGAAACTTTACGAACCATCTCAATTACATCTTGTGTGGGGATGTTGGCGGAGCATGCAATCCACAACTAATCACATGTTACATCGAAGAAAACGAGCCGTTTCCTCACAACATGGTGAGTTTTAGGCCCAGTCTCTCAACTCAGTGTACTATGAGGCTTATCAAGGTTCAAATACTCGACAGTAACACCCGGGACACGATGGCTATTCTCGGTGTCGACCTAAAGAAGGCGTTTGATAATATGCATAACTCATTAATGCTCCATGCAATCTCGAACCTAGGTAGGAGCGTGGCCTTCCATGTTTTCACTGAATCGTTCCTCAAGGTACACAGCACCCTGCTGAAGGTCGAAGGAAAAAAAAACAGACAATGTAGAACTGAGCACACGACGCCAGACAAGAACCTTCATTTCACCACTCTTGTACAATATCTCCATGGTTCGTCTATCGAAGGGTATGGGCAAGACTCACCGGCTTGTTTAACTGCATATTTTGGTCAGTGCGACCTGTGAGGTCTGTGGAGCCGAAGAAGACATCCAATATTGGTTAATGCATTGCGTCAAAAACCAACACTCTGGTACGTTCCAGTGGTTTCACAATCGGCCGCTTACTGTGCACAGGCTGCTCGAGCACCGGCCAGATAAGTTGTCGTCTCTAAATACAGTTATTTCATTTTTGTGCTTTTTTTAGAACTGTGGGCCTGTGTGAATGCTTCTGCTTTTGTATAATTCCCCGGCGCCCCACGAATCAGGGCATTTATTGATCAATTTCTTTCTCCATTACTCTCGTCTTTGTTTCCTGCCTTCCTCATGCAAGCGGCTTGTTAACCATCTTGGCCTTTCTATTTTGTTTCCTATTTCTCTTCGTCAGATTTGTTGATGTCTATGCACTAAAAAAACTCACTGTTATGAAAAACTGATAATGGCTGAAGCCACGACTTCGATGGGGCACGCTTCAGTACCTCGAAGCCGGCTTGTAACGTGAAAGGCAGGCAGTCACTGACGGTGAAGCATGAGTGAAATGTTCCCACAGAGGGTTGTCTGTTACTGAATAGAGCCCACCAGAATAAAGCCTCCATTTAACGATAGTGTGACCACAGCATATCATTTACCTGGTTTCACAGCGATTCGTCATTGTGTGGTCGTTATCAAAGCTTTGCAAAACTATACTCACCTAAATTTAGGTCCATCGGTATTTACGGCGACTTGTGTGCGCTGTCAAGAGGGTTACTTCCGAGAGCTTTCTGAGGTTAAATCGATGATAAGTCTAAGTTCAGAGAGCCTTTCATCTATCGCTATAGTGAACAAGCCATCTCCCAATGCTTTTTATTATTCTAGTTCATTAATAATTATGCTGAAAAAGCCATCAGTGATGTATCGTTCTTTTTTGTAATGTGATTTGTAGAACGAGCTCATATGAATTACAATGGTTTAGTGAGTTTCTATTGTGTGGAAGCTTTTATAAACCAAAGCTAGAGACCACGTACTTCGTGATTGCCCTTAGAAGAAGCTTTCCTAGGAGATAAAATATGTGGTATATCTGGAACTTAGACATGAGAAAAGATCAGATAGCAATGCTCACTGAACTATTCCTCCCGTTTACGGCAGTAGACAATGTCCGCATGTGTAAGAACAAAAAGAAAAATGCTATGACAGAAAAACGCTTGTTCGCGGGATATAATCCCGACTGCGGCAGCTGCATTTCCGATGGAGGCTGAAATGTTGTAGGCCCGTGTGCTCAGATTTGGGTGCACATTAAAGAACCCCCGGTGGACAAAATTTCCGGAGCCCGATTGTACGGCGTCTCGCATAATCATATGGTGGTTTTGGGACGTTAAACCCCACATATGAATCAGAAAAGCGCTTGCAGCAACAAAACAGGGTAAACAGAAAGCTTAGACATTCCAATGAAACGTCTACAGGTAACATTGTAGTAAAAAACTTCGCCGTTCAAGCACTCTGTACAAGTGGTTAACTAGAGAAAGCTTAAACGTGCGGCCCCGGTGTTCAGCACTGTGTTCAATCCGACACTGCACTGAAGTCTTTAACAACTATCGGTTACAGGTTCGTGCTTCGTATTGAGATTAGACACACGTTTGGCTTGGATTTACCAAAGCATTTATCTCACATGCCGTGCATTGTGCATCACATGATCGCAGTCATGAAGGAGTGAAATGAGTATTGCGACCAGTGCGTTAATCAAAGTGGTTCGTCTCGAACCACAGACGGCCACAGATGTCGCAGCCGAAGCTGGAGTGTCCCTGGAGAAACTCACTCTGAAAGCAGGCGTTCGCCCTGGTGAACGCGCTCGCACAATCATCTCGTTGACGCTATTGTGCCCACAAGGCCACTTGTTCGGTGTGGATTTGTTGCAAATTTCGACATCGCAAGCTAACGCAATGGCGTGGTTTGCAAGATCGTCCCGCCACCACCGCTTGTATTCGCGTGTAATTTAGCGTGGCTTGAAAGGCTGCCGGATGATAGGAACGTACTCGTTGCTGGATTCGACCTCCTGGGCCTGATTTTGTGCCGGGACTGCACGCACCATCGGCCTGATAATTGCGAGCTTTCTCATGTTTCGACTTTCCACGCTGTTATAGAATTGTCTGTGGTTAACCCACGTGAAAGGTCCCAGTATAGAAACTGATGCACGCATGCGCGGAGCCATGGCTGCGATGGCATGAACGACGTCAATCACAATAAAGCCAGTGGCACTTCTGCTTGGGTACGACTCTCAGATTGACGTAGTTGGTAGCACAACCAATGAACACCACTTGTGACGCGGATGCCGAATGGTTTTTTGTTTATTTTTGTCTTATGCAGTTTGTCTTGTGCAGACGCACTGGAAAATTGAGTCTTTGACATTATAAGCGTATCTAAATAGGGTGAGAAATACAGAGAGAGAGAGAGAAAATTTATTTACAGAAAGGTAGAGAGGCAGGCTTGAGCTATATAGTTTGCTCTGGCCTGCTACTCTACACTAGGGAAGGATGACTGGGGAGTGAAAGAGTGATGAATGCCGATGGTAAGGTGAGAATTAGGTGCTGTACTAAATAGGGTGAGAAATATGTGCTGTAAACATGGAGCACCTTACAGAAGAAAAGCATCTTCAGCAGGGCAGTGTACACGGGCGGGCTTTTCAGTGATTGCTTTACGCTACTAGCGGGGCATCGTAGCTCCACGTTGCGATAAAAACTTTTTCGCAGAAAGTGCAAGATACATGCATGTGGTGCAGCCGGTTGCCGTTTACTTGATACAAGACTCGCTATGGAAGCTTTAAGCAGCCTCTCTCGCGGCGGATACTGGCTAAAGATGGCACCATTCTCTCTTATGCACTCTTTGCAGTGAAGCACCGAGGACAAGCCCACCATATAAGACGCCTTCAAGGACAGCGACTGCGTATTGCAGTGCTCCCTAAATGTTTCCAAGAGAACATCGTAAACGGGAAAACTTTCGAACAGTATAAAAATGGCATTCTGAAATTTCGTTTTCAGCTGGCTTCGCGCTCCACATTTAGACGATGATGCATCGACTGTGACATGGGAAATAGATAACACAGCACGCGAGTGGTTGTGGAAGCTTCTTTAGCGGTGGACTTACTGCGAATACCTGTGATGATCTAGCAAATGACTTCGCTGATCCTGCATACACCTGTAGGTTTCGAACCATTTTCATTCAGAAGCAGCACTATACACACCGGCAGGACTCAAGTTACGGTGAAGTGGATGTAGTGTAATTTTAGGCAAGTTACTGTTTGTAAATCTTTTAAGTAATGATTACTGCCTGACGATAGGAACATACCCTCATGTGTAATAGTGAACCTACTAATTGAAGATCAAAATGAGTTGATGCATTTTGATGGAAAGGAAGGGCTTCTTTGAACCACAAGAAGAATTGCCGTTGCTTGTAGGTATTGCTAGAGAGCATGATATGTTATCACAAATTTTCACAAAAATTGTGGAATTAATCTGGTTGCAAACTTTTGCAATCTATTTGATTGTATAAATAATGTTGATGGAAGCGTTCCAGGAAGTCATTGCACAATGTGTAACATATTTCAGCATTATTATGACACAAAAACTATACAAATAATAAGAAATACTCAATGTATGCAGCCAAAAGTAATTTAGAATGTACGCTTCTTTTCTTACGAACTGATTGATATGTGGGGTTTAACGTCCCAAAACCACCTTATGATTATGAGAGACGCCGTAGTCGAGAGCTCAGGAAATGCCTACTTCCTGAGGTTCTTCAAGGTGCACCCAAATTTGAGCCCACAGACCTACAGCACTCTCGCCTTTATCGAAAATACAGCCACCACAGCCGGGATTTGATCCCGCGACCAGCGGGTCAGCCGCCGATTACCTTAGTCACTAGACCACCGCGGCGGCTTTTCTCATGTACTAGGCAGCCAAGTGAAATCACGTCTGAATCAACTTATACCAAACTTGAGAACCCCGCAACGTCCTGCTTTTGTGACCGTAAAAACGGTAAAAATCATCTCACGTTTTGTTGGAGTTTGTCTTGTCACCCCCATAACAAAACAGTTGGGGTTACCCGCAAGAAGGGCATAATCATCGTCTAGTTCTGTTGCTGCCAATCCACCTGCAAAATAAATAATTTAGAAGTAGTCAAGAGTTGGTAAAACAAAAAGTTAGGCAGACCCAACGTTCCTTGGGAATCGGCGTTATGCGAAGCATGCGGAGCTGAAATGACCCTGTTGTAATTTTTTCATTGAGAGATATGTCATAAAATGACGCTAAATATATGTATAAATGTTCAATGCACAGACATATGTTGAGCAGCTGCAGATGTTTATATAATCAGTACCGTGCATTTGCACAGCGATGTCAACAGCAACATGAGTATTAGCAACACCAAAAGTGATAAGCTGACATGAAGCACTAGTGCTCGCGAGGATGGTAGCCCTTGACGCTACTACATCAAGTGGGCTCAGACTCAGGTGTGCGTTAAAAAAAAACCCAGGTAGTCGAATTTTCCGGAGCGCTCCACTACGGCATCTCTCACAATCATATAGTGGTTTAGGGACGTTAAGCCCCATATATTAATCAACACTGCTGCATAAATACACTTCAGGGCATGACACTTAACTACAAGTGACGCTAAGCCAGACGTGACGGCTGTATCTTATGAGTAGAAGCAAAACGAAGAGGTGGGCGAGTTGGTACTGATATAACTGCGTAAATGTAGCGTTTACTAACAACTGAAAGCTTTAATGCTTGAAACGAAAATGCATAACACTCATACTTGGTGCTCAACAAAATCTCTCGCATGCGCATCGTGGGTGAAACAACAGGCAAAAAAACAAACCAAGAACAAACCAAGTATCTTTTCGCGCTAGATATACGCACTTATGAGCAGATATGCAATGTTTATGAAATTTGTTGTAAACCGCCACCGTAATGAACGTTTCATGAACATTATTGCGTATTTGATAAGTAGTTTCATGACTCTGGTACAATGCTTGATTGCCGTGCAAAATGCTTGGGTTTGATTAGCGCTGAGACCCTAGCACTTATTCTTAGCACTCATCGGGTGTACGCGGCTGATGTGAGTTTTTTTCGTAACGCTCACGCTTTAAAATTGTCCGTCTGTGTTCTCGTCGTTCCTGGGCAGATACTTAGTGTCAGTCACCTGCGGCACATACCCGCGTACCAGTGGCACATACTCACCGGCGGGTATTTGGCCACTGTTTGAAGGGAAGTGTTTGACGACGTACGTGACGTGATTGTGACATTATTCATGTCTAGACCAGCACGTATGATTCAGCAAACCACCTTGCACACCCACACTAACTTTGGTTCACGCACCCAGACGTAAGCAGCTAGGTAGATAGATAGATAGATAGATAGATAGAGAGATAGATACCAAAAGTGCTTGTAGTTTGCAAACAAATGCTTTGCATTAAAAAAGATAACTTGAATGATCTTGCCATCATCGAGACAGGTTTAATACAAAAGTGAAACGTGTCCAGATTTGAGTAGTTGATTGGTTTTGTGCACACGTCCGCAAAAGCATCCGCACCATGGCAGCGCATACCGATATTGCCCGGTTTGCCGCTTTGTGGCAAGCCGTATGTTGTAAATAGCTCTCCCACGAAAAATTAGCGTCCAGAGCAATGATCTCTAAGGCAGGCAGCTCACCATTCCATTGCGAGCTGCCTGCTTATACACACGCGGTCCCGCTGTTTGTATATTTTGCTCACAATCGTACATAATAAATGACAGCTGGCTCGATATTTGTTGGTGTTTAGTTGCAATAGAACCATTTGATGTGGGACCACTAGAGGACAGCGAGACGAGCGGACGCCTCCACATCGGCTCCGCCTTTCGGCTTTGATTTCATCGGTCAAGTGCGGATAATCTTTCTGGATTACCTACCCGTCCTCTTTGGCAAGTTCTGGGGCACAACTGGCTAACACGTTGGGCCCGTTGGACCCCCTTTTCATCATCTTTCGGAACATCGCTCCAATCTCACCCGCTGAGCCTCGTGCAGGTCTAGCTTGACTACGCACCTTATTCGACGCTGGCAATCCGGCCGCTGAGCGGCCATCATGTCGGAAGCCATGGTTGATGGAGAAGTAATCACCGAAGAAGAAGCTAATGCGCCTGGCTGGATTACGGCTCACACACAAAAAAAAAACGCCCCGCAAGCCCGCTACAAGCTACCGGCAAACAACGTCGCGTCCCCACCGGCGCCGTGTATGCCGGAGCATTGACGAAGGTTGCAGACGCTAGCCGGCTCCCGCCTGTACCCACTGATCAATGCCGGGTCGTCGTTCGCCCGGGTGGAGGACTCGACGTCCGTACGTCTAGCAAGATGAAGTTCTTAGAATCACTACTGTTCGCAACACCGCTCCCGTCAGGATCTGCCGATGAAGACATTATGTGTACAAACTACGCGCAAAATATTTTCGTAATAAGTACAACGAGTATCATCAACGATGAAGCGTACGCTAACATGTGTTAGATTGCCCAGATGGATCAGCGCTACCCCGTTTCTGCCTACATCGCAGCACCCAGCAACGCCAGCCGAGGTGTCGTGCGATAGGTCGAGGCCGACCTACCAGACTCCGAACTACAAAGCCTCTTTCTGACGCCGCACAACCCGATGCTTCTCGGTGTGCGCCACATCAAGAAGACAGCAACTGTGATTATCCTATTCAGTGCACTGAAAGTACCGAACTACGTGTGCTGTGGTATGTTACTGCTACGTTGCACGCTATACAAGAGACGAATAGACACTTGCCGCATCTGCGACCACGTCTGCCACCACCAGGACGTGCGCCGGGCTCCGACCGCGAAAGTTTGTGAGTATTGTGGTGTTCAACTCACCGGTAGTAAACATGAATGTGTTCAACCAAAATGTGCACTGTGCAGACAAGCCCACGTTACCAGCGCTCGAACATGCCCAGACCACTATCAGGTGCCCTACGTCGTCCGCCGCCACCGACGCCACAGACGAAACAGCAGTCAACCAAGTTAAAGCAACCCAGTGACCACCAAACAGCAGCAGACGATGTTGACGCCCAAGCAAGTGGCCCAAACCCAACCACCCATATCGAAAAGCACAATGCAAACCACCTTGGCCGACAAAGTCGCCAATGAAGGGGAGACCCGCCGCTCTGAGCAGGCGAGACAACTGCCACTACATGTAAATGATAAAATACAGACAATCGAGCGCTAGAACGCGTTCCTACGCAAATATCTCGCCGATATTAAGACGCTTTTATGAAACATGCAGCAGCAGAGTAAATGCCCAGTCACCGAACCAACACCCAACGCGAGCGCGTACTCAGCGGACTGGCAACCGACGCACCCGCCACGTCTGCTGCAGCTTTAGCTCCTAATGCAGCAGCCATGAGTCACGCCGTGAAACGCAGGGCAGCTGAAAGCCTAGAATATGAACAGCTAACTAAAGCGAACTTGACAAAAATACTTGAGGAATTTCACGTCGCTATAACCGCAGAAATCACCCCCAATAAATTACAGCTAACCAAGCATAGCATCATCATCATCATCATCATCATCATCATCATCATCAGCCTGACTACGTCCACTGCACGACAAAGGCCTCTCCCATGTTCCGCCAGTTAACCCGGTCCTGTGCTTGCTGCTGCCAATTTATACCCGCAAACTTCTTAATCTCATCTGCCCACCTAACCTTCCGTCTCCCCCTAACCCGCATCCCTTCTCTCTGAATCCAGTTAGTTACCCTTAATGACCAGCGGTTATCCTGTCTACGCGCTACATGCCCGGCCCATGTCCATTTCCTTTTCTTTATTTCAACTATGATATCCTTAACCCCCGTTTGTCCCCTAATCCACTCTGCTCTCTTCTTGTCTCTTAAGGTTACACCTACCATTTTTCTTTCCATTTCTCGCTGCGTCGTCCTCAATTTAAGCTGAACCCTCTTTGTAAGTCTCCAGGTTTCTGCTCCGTAGCTAAGTACCGGCAAGATACAGCTGTTATATACCTTCCTCTTGAGGGATAGTGGCAATCTACCTGTCATAATTTGAGAGTGGTTGCGGAATGTGCTCCACCCCATTCTTATTCTTCTACTTACTTCAATCTCGTGGTTAGGCTCAGCGGTTATTACCTGCCCTAAGTAGACATAGTCTTTTACAACTTCAAGTGCACTATTACCTATCTCGAAGCGCTGCTCCTTTCCGAGGTTGTTGTACATTACTTTCGTTTTCTGCAGATTAATTTTAAGACCCACCTTTCTGCTCTCCTTGTCTAACTCCGTAATCATGAGTTGCAATTCGTCCCCTGAGTTACTCAGAAATGCAATGTCATCGGCGAAGCGCAGGTTACTAAGGTATTCTCCATTAACTCTTATCCCTAACTGTTCCCATTCTAGGCTTCTGAAAACCTCCTGTAAGCATGCGGTAAATAGCATTGGGGAGATTGTGTCCCCCTGCCTTACACCCTTCTTGATTGGTATTCTGTTGCTTTCTTTATGAAGCACTATGGTAGCAGTTGATCCCCTGTAGATTTCTTCCAGAATGTTTATATATACTTCATCTACGCCCTGATTCCGCAGTGTCTGCATGACGGCTGATATTTCTACTGAATCAAACGCCTTATCGTAATCTATGAAGGCTATGTATAGTTGTTGTTTATACTCTGAGCATTTCTCTATTACCTGATTGATAGTATGAATGTGGTCAATTGTTGAGTAGCGTGTTCGAAATCCTGGTTGTTCCTTTGGTTGATTGAATTCTAATGTTTTCTTTACTCTGTTAGCAATTACCTTTGTAAATAGCTTGTTTGCTACAGAGAGCAAGCTGATCGGCCTGTAATTCTTCAAGTCCTTGTCATCTCCTTTCTTATGTATTAAGATGATGTTAGCGTTCTTCCAAGACTCTGGCACCCTTCCCGTCAGGAGACACCTCGTAAACAGGGTGGCTAGTTTTTCTAACACAATCTGTCCTCCATCTTTCAGCAGATCTGATGTTACCTGATCCTCACCAGCAGCTTTGCCTCTTTGCATGCTCTCCAAAGCTTTTCTGACTTCTTCTATCATTACTGGTGGGGTGTCATCTGGGTTACTGCTAGTTCTTATAGTATTAAGGTCGTGGT